AATTCATCAGCCCCAGCCTCTGGAAATTTATTATTTTCCTCAATCAAGTGTCCTTCCCAAAATTGTCTCACGCAAAGGTCATTAAAGTCTTGCCAGTCTGCAAAGCCCCAGGACCAGACAGATTTACTAACCTTTACTACAAGAAACTGTCCTCCATTCTCACTTTTTATGCAGCATCTTTATCTGAAGCCAAAAGTACCTCTGATGTTCTAATAGAAAATATGGACATGCTACAAAGCCAGGCAAGGCCCCGACAAAGTGACCAAAATTTAGACCAATTTCCCTACTAAATGTAGATGCAATGACTGGGTTGGATTTGTGAACAGTCGTAGAGGCTCAAATGACACACACAAAGACATGGTGCAGCTGTATAGTATGCACCACATCAAACTCAGTAGCATTATTCTTTCATTATATGCAGAAAAGGCTTTCGACCGCCTCCATTGGTCCTTTTTGAAAGCAGTTTTGCTTAAAATATGATTTCCCACTACTATTTCAGTCTGCATTTTATGCCCTGTAGGCGCATGGCTTGAGCTTGAAAGTTTTAAGTTATGAATCTTGTCATATATAATCAAAATTACAGAAATATAATTTATTTAAAACAAAGCTTACATTATATATATATATATATGTTATAGTGATCTGGAAATATGCAAACAACATAATGCTGATACCTATACGTTTTGGAGAGTCTTTACTACATCTATGATTAACTGCATCTTGGCTTTAGACCAAAAATTACACCCAACATAAAAATGCAAAAGTAGTTTAACTTTTAGCATGCAAAAGAGATGAGTGATGGACGATTTAGAAGATTTTCTTCTGGATTTATTCACTTACAAACTGTAAATATTAGGTAGGGAAAAAGCTAATTTGGAAACTTTGTCAAGTTTGGACTAAAATTTTCATTTCCCTTTCCATTTCTTAAAAATGTGTAAAGATTTTGGTTATTTTGTGCAATTACCAAAAAAAGTGAGCTAGTACTGGAGATGGTAAATGTGAAAATAAGCAAAGGATAATATAGTGCAGATTATCTAGATATGTAATAAAATATAGGGGGTGGGGGGAAAGAACTCACATGGACCAGAGCCCTATCATCCCTGGCTCTGGGTTTGCAAGGTTCCACTGGAGAGGGAAAGTCCCACAATATATAGATTGTATGAAGAAGAAGAAGTCCAGGAAGGTGGGTGAAACACGCTACGTAGACGTCATTGGAAAGGCAGATCCAGAAGTCTTCACGTGATCGGGACGTTCGAAACCCGGTAGTGATTGTGACTGTGGAGTTTCTATTCAAGATATACATGCTTTTATGTGGGTAGCTTCACTAGCCAAACCCACCACTTACTCAGTAAGAGTTTTTAACCACTTTTTTTTAGTAATAAACATTAAAGATACAATTCAATTAGGGGTCTTTTGCTTTTCTATCCTGTATCACACAGAATTTGGTTGTAGAGAATACTTCATACAATCTATACATTGTGGGACTTTCCCTCTCCAGTGGAACCTTTCAAACCCAGAGCCAGGGGTGATAGGGCTCTGGTCCATGTGAGTTATTTACCCCCACCCCCTATATTTTATTACATATCTCGATTTTCTGCACTATGTCTCCAGTACTAGCGCACTTTTTTTGGTAATATTGTCTATGTTTGTGTATACTTGTTTGTGTCACTGATGCTTAGTGCAGCTGTACCGAGGAATAGCATATTTTCTCAGCGCTTATTTATTATTGAATTTCTTATTTTAAATTGTGTATACCAAGAAAAACTCTCAATTTGGGATAACGTCAAGTGTAAGGAAACTATTGCAAAAATATTTTATTTTCATATAAGTATTGACATCAATTTAATAAGCTTTCCTAATGATTAATTACTGTCGAAAATTTTGCAAATGATTCATCTATAAAAGTCAGCATTGATGTATATTAGAATTTTTTAGATAAAACATTTGGAATGCTTATCTAACAGTAATGATTTGTTTGGGACAATTAGTTTTTAATACTTAAAAATATACATCTAGCCCAATAAATGTTGCAAGCTCAGAAGCCATTAAACCATTCTGCAATTTGTAGCATATTTGCATATTAGGTTGTCTGTAACCACATGCTTTTTCTGACTGATAAGCGAAGGCAATGAAACGCTGTTTACTATTCCATTACTGACAACAATTTTGTGTTGTGATGAAGCTTTATTAATAAGGTCAGATATAAATGCGAACTCGTCATTTCTCTTTAAATGGCTAATGATGATTAGGTATCAGTTAATGTGGCACAATATTAATGATTAGTTAAACATTGTGGATATTGTCCTTGTGTTTCCAATTTGCCCCATAGCACTGATTGTAGGGCTTTTCTATTTTAACAAATTATTGAGATATGTTATCATTGTAGTTCACTTTCAGTTTTCTGATTACACACATTCTCCAGTACACCCAATTCGTCTTATCTTATTGCATTGTAGACTAAGATATATGTCATGTAGCCTACTGATCTATTACAGAATTCATTGACCATTTCGCTACCATAAGAAACACATAATTGTCACTGTTACATGTCTCCCTCTATTTCAAATGACCAAAGGAGAATAATTTTGTTTTTTTAGGAAATGGATCTATATGATATGATCACACAAACTAAACTAGAAACGACAGAGGATCGACAAGTGAATAGCACATTTTACGCCAATATAGCATAATTTTGTTATTTCGGCCTTATAATTCCAATTTCCTTTAAAATCCCCATAATTCATGGTTTAATAAATACCCATGAGAACAACCTGAGTTGGTAAACATGTATGGCTGAATATAAATTCGCAACAATGAGATTTATAAAGAGAGACTGTTTATGCTTAGCTAAAGAAGAGCTTGAGTACACAAATCATCTATTTCCACGAGACCGAATTACAACTAAAACAGATGAACGTATGAGGACAGAAATGCTCCCACTATCTCTTTTGAAGCAGAGTAACTCATTTAATTTAATGTTGAAGGCTGAATTTCAATGGGCTTTTCTGAGAATGAGTAACAACTGCATTGTGAGCATGTTCTTAAGCTCCAGTACATGCAGGAGTACTCAGACTGACAGGAGACACAGCGGAGGCTAACATGGTAGGAGTGAGCTGAATGCTGAAATTCATTTTGTTTCCTAGTCATTCCTATTAATAAACCTTGAATGGAAAATTGAATATTCATATCCACAATTATGTCTCACTAAAATTCCTAACATCAGCCGTAAAGTAGCAATTATTACAGCCAATGTTTAACTCTTTATATTATAATACTGTATGTATTCTGAAAAAAAAGGAAAATACAGTTTTAATCATGTGATAGAGTAAACCCAGGACATACTTGAAAACGAGAGAAATCTCACTGTATCTTTCCTGGTAAAATATTTTATAACTAAATAAATTAATGAACATTCAGCGCTGAAATCTCTTAACAGAGAAAAGCTTACTCAGCTTACTAAATAGCAATTCCTCCACTGAAGACTAAATAAAATTGCCTATCGATAAGTAGAGTAAATGCTTCCTCTGCTAAGAGACTTCAGCCCCTAGTGTTCTAATATTTATTTAAGCTTTTCAAGAGCAACGATATCAAGAGTGTCACGCTAGCAGCAGTTTGTCTCTGGCCCTGAAAGTGTTACTATTTCCGTATTATGGGTTTATAAGAAATATAGATTTTTCATACTTTTGGAACAGAATCCACTTACAGTAATGATTAGTTCCCCCCTCCCCCCTATATACAATGCTGACCTAAGCAGGACATAGAATTTTGCTTGTCGTACAAAGCTTGAAAAGGTTTAGGTGCCTGAGGCTGGGAAGAACTAACCTCATAATGTCACAAGGTATAGTCTCAGTGATTCGAATCAGGTTTTTCTGTGTTGCTTTATTAGGGGTTGGCAAGTGTAGCTCTAATACAGGCATTAATTCTACCTCTCAATGAAACAAAGCACAAAATAGGAAATGCATTGAGTGTTGCAATTTTTACAGCAGAAGCAGACTTCATTAAACATTAAATATGGCAACAAATTGTTAGTAGGGGTCACACATAAAAAAAACAGCCCAGAGCTTTTTTTCGATAAATATTCTGAAATAAAATGCACACATATGCGTATCGCTATTTCTCTATCTGTAAATATGTGCACATGTACTTTCCACTCAATAAATAATGTGCAGAGATCACAGAGATTAACAAATATTATGATGGAACCACTCTTGAGAACTTTACTTTTAGAAATGCAATCAAAACACAAAAAAACAAGTATTGCTTTTTTTGTTTTGTTTTTTTTGCTACGGTATATCTAAATCTGCAAATCTACCAATTTGCGGTTTGCTGTAAAAATCTTTTGTACAACATTGCATATCTTTTCATTAAAACAAACACACAAAAAACTTGCGTCACGTTTATTTGAAATGTGAAACCGTAAAATCAAACATCAGTTTTTTATATAGATTGTTGTTCGATAATACTTAAAAATGATAGGCCATACAAATTTACACAATTATTCATTTATTTATTTATTCTTTGTAGAAATAGTGTGGGCGTGAAAATAATTTAAACAGGTTTTTTTTCTTTTTTTTGAAAAGTCCAAATTTAAGCAAATTAAATTGTAAAATTGAGACTAAAATAGTCAATACGTGACTAAAGGTGAGTTGGAGACTTTTCCAAATCAGCTATTTTTAGCCTAAATTTATTTTACATTTAATTTGCTACAATTTAGAATTTAGTGAATAATCATGAAATCTTTCAGAGTCAAAGTAGACAAGCACAAAAAGAAATGATAAACAAGAAGGAAAATGTGCAATATAATATGGCGCTAAAAATTAATTGTGGTAAAGGTACAGCTAAATATAACTTGTTAAATCAATCACCATAAATAAACAAATATACACAAAAAATATTAAGTGGGGGCGTGGTTCCGGCTCTCACCAAGATGGCCGTGTAAAGAGTGAGCTCCGCTCCGCCGGACCCCTAAAAAGCATCGCAAGCAGTGCATAACCAACTTAATGGGGCGCACTAAACGCCCGGAGCAGCCCCAGACCCCAAGGCACCCCTCACAGGGCCCGCTGGACGGTTACCTGCAGCCGCAGACAGGAACGAGCGGAGACTCCGGGAGTCCCAAAATGGCGGCACCATCCACCTCAGGACCGGCACTCGACCGGATTGAAAGTACCCTGCGGGACCTGGCAGCAGCCATGGTCATGAAAACTGACCTCCAGGCTAACACTACTGCTATCCAGGAAACCCTGCGGACGGAGATCGCAGGGATCCGCACGGAACTCGCAACGCAAGCAGGCCGCATCACAGTGGTGGAGGAGGCGAACGCGGCCCTCACGACCCGCATGGCAGCTACTGACACAGCAGTGGCAAGACAAGGTGAGATGTTGCTCTCCATGCGTCGGCACCTCGAAGATGTGGACAATAGGGGCAGGAGATGCAATATACGTATCCGTGGTGTGCCAGAAACAGAAGGGTCGGAAAACGTAATTGAAATCCTTATGGAACTCTTCCGCTCCCTATTACACCCGACCCCGCTGCCAGAGATAGAATTTGAGCGAGCACATAGGGCCCTGCGACCTTGCAATGTGGAAGAAGGGCCGCGGGACCTAATATGCTGCCTACATTCCTTCCCGGTGAAGAATACTATTATGGTAAAGGCACGGGAGCGGCAGACCTGGCCCTTTAGAGGAGTTCAAGTCGCCCTCTATAACGATCTATCTCCCATAACCCTGGAAGCCAGACGGGCCCTTCGCCCGGTTACTGCGACTCTGCGAGACCGAAATATCCAATACAAGTGGGGCTTCCCCTTTGCCCTGATGGCTAGATACCAGAATAGATGGCTCACTCTGAGATGGCCTGAAGAGATACCGCAATTTATGGAAACAATGGGCCTCCCTACACCACTGGTCCCTAACTGGATATTGGGACCATTAGGCCCACAGCCAAGACCACAGCGGGGACCTAGACAGAGAGAAGTGAGACCTCGTCCTGCTCCGCACACCGGACGGTGCGGAGACCCAACAGCTCCAGAGGAGTAACCGCCTCTGCCCACCCACGCTCACGATGGCTGCACGTGACCCTTTGGCAACCCACCCAGGTCTTTACTCGATGTCTCCCCCCGGAGAAACTGACCCTGGCATGATTATCCCGGCACCCTGCTACCTGGGATCCGCTCCTTCCTACCGGTGCCCGAGATGAACAGATTTGGTGCGCCGATTGCCGCCAGGTACATTGGGTTATCATTTTGGGGGTTTGGGGCGGGGGGACGTGGGCATAAGGACACACGCAAAGGGCTTATGCACTTGTGAGGCTGCCACACGGGGTATGCACTTGCCTCACCACCCACCCCCTAACATCATAACATCATGAGAGGTTTCTAGCAAGGAGCAAGCAGTCATTGTTTTGGGGCGGGGGGTTCAGGGAGGATGCAGGCCGCGCATGACGAACGCCCCTAGGGGGAACCATAATTTTACCTGAATCCCTAACCTCGGTTGTCGTTCGGGGACATTGTTCCGCAGAGGAGGACTCTCAGCCCAACCATATGCACTTAAAAGTAATGTCTGCTATCAGCGGGGAGGGTGGGGGAGGGAACCTGGAGGGTAACAGAATTGAATATCAATGCTGCAAATAATGTACCATGCTGCTGACAAACCCACGTCTACCGCTACATACACTCTTGCACAATGCTTTATTTCGGAGGCTTTAGTTGGCATAGGGCCGGTGGTTCCCTCACTAGACCCCGCTGGTTTGCTGATGTCGCTCCCTAGAATGATAGGGCTAGCTGATACACTTTTCCCGACAGACGATAGATCCCCCTACTAACAATTATATCTCCGAAGGACTAACTTATAGCTTAGGCCCACACGTGACTCCCTAGTAATGTCTTTTTATCTTAGAGCACATAAATCCATACCTGTACTCAACCCACTGGCAAATGAACGTCTGTGGTTTTACTTATATACGAACCCCCCCCCACCCCCCACTTGAGTACCGACAGGTGCATAGCCGGAGAATGACCTACACATGACGCATGAGATATACATAAATATTGGATCAGAAACCCGGAGGAGCGCTTAGGATGGACAAAGGGGCCCCCGACATAGGGAACCCCACCGCTGGTGGGTGCAGGGGTGCTAACATTTAGCGACAAGGGACTAAGGGTTTACTTAGATTGACCAGAGTGGGTGGACGATGGGTGGGCATCTTCCTTCTTCGAGGGAGTACTTGGGGAATGATGGGTTATACTGTTTTCTGTTCATCGGCCTCAGGGGCCATGTTTGACAATACGTTATTTGTTGTTATTACCAGTGTGCTTTTATTGTAACTGTACAATTTACGCAGGTTATTGCTATCCATTCGAACCTGACCATGGGGGATAAGGTGGAGCGGAGAACCACGTATCTAATCCCCGAAACCTTACCTGGGTGGAGCTCGAGCCGCGTTCTCCAACACATACACTCGTGCCAAGAGGTTAGTGACCAGACGGCAGGGTCCCTCGGCTCCTGGGCTGGTACCGGAGCGAGCCCCAGCTGGTGCTGGTCGCCGCGCGAGTCTTCCCCCCCCTCTTTTGTAGAAGGGTTCTAGATCTACGTTAGGGATCTCACCGGACTCTGGGGGGTAACCACAAAAAGGGACACTCACCTCCTTTCATACTCTGCTTGGCGCAGTTGGCTCCGCGCCCGGGGTCCCGGAATTACTACTTGTGCGCTCCTTTATAACACACTTTCCCCTCTTTCCTTCCCCATTGGTACCTTTCCCCCCTCTCCCCGCTTTCTTCCTTGTTCCCTCCGCGTTCGTGCCGGTCCGTGTCCCGGACGGGTGGCTTCCCCTGCGGTAGCGGACTAACGGTGCAACCTCCTGACCCCGTATTACACCGGGACTGTATCCGACCCACATAGTGACCATGGCCTACTGTAACGCACCCCTAAAGGTCATCACACAGAATTGTAGAGGACTCAACATACCTGAACGGAGGACGCACCTGTTACGGGAATTGAAGAAAAAACATGTGGCTATAGCTATGCTCCAAGAGACGCATTTCAAGGAAGGATCTACTCCTAGACTACGGAATAGGCATTACCCCGATAACTACTTCTGTAATCACCCAACGGCCCACAAATCTGGAGTGGCTATATTATTAGCTGCGGAACTGGAATTTAAAGAATTGGACCGCGCTCAAGACTCACAGGGACGATATCTCTTCCTCAAGGGCATCATAGCAGATAAGATATATACCATTGCGACTATTTATGTGCCCAATCGGAGGCAGGCCCCATTTATCCGCAACGCTATGCATCAATTGGAAGACTTCACGGACGGGATACTATTAGTAGGAGGCGACTTCAACGCCCCGCTGGACCCAACGCTGGATTCCTCCACGGGTCATAGCTGCCTTCCACAACACAGCATTAGCTCCATTCGACAATCCATGGAAGCCCTGAGACTGGTGGACTGTTGGAGGACACTTCACCCCATGGTGAAAGACTATACCTACTACTCCGCCCTTCACAATCGTTATTCCCGTATAGATTACATCCTCATTGCACAGGAAGGCCTTTCCCACCTACGCGGAGCAGAGATCGAAACGGCCACCTGGTCGGACCATGGATCGGTCGGGATAGAATTGGAATCGCCCCTGTACAGACCGAGGACGTGGACCTGGAGACTTAATGAAGCCCTACTGCTTGACCCGGGCACCAAGGACCAAATCCGACAAGCACTGGAACAATACTTCGGAGAGAATGATACCCCGGAGGCTTCTCCGATTTCTGTATGGGAAGCTCACAAAAGTGTGCTTCGAGGCACTCTCATACGCATTGCCTCCCAGAAGCGGAAGGCATTTATGCAAGAAATGGTCGACTTATATCGATCTATATCGACTTTGGAACGCCAACACAAACGCTCCCAGCTAAACGCAGTCTATGGAGAATTAATGGAGCACAGGAGACGACTTAAAGATCTCATCCTGAAAAGACATCTCCGATCCGTACAACGGGCTTTTATTACGTGCACGCCAACAAAGGGGGTAAATATCTGGCGAGACTACTGAAAGGCCCCTTGCCCCATAGACAGATACGTAAGATTCGCCTGACTACGGGAGAGGTTTCCCCATTCCCTCAGAAAATAGCCGGTGAATTTAGGTCTTTCTATGAACACTTATACAATCTGTATACGCCCAACGGAGCCACCGACGCAGCTGGAGAACGCACAAAGATACAGAATTTCCTGGATGACACAATTACTAACACGATTGCTCAGGAGTCGGCAACGCTTTTGGACACCCCGATCACGGTGGAAGAATTAGCCGCAGCCCTGAAGACATCAAAATCCGGCAAGGCCCCAGGCCCAGATGGTTACTCTACGGGATATTATAAAAGCTTCTCGGGAGTGCTACTTCCTTGGCTAACCAAGGCGCTTAATGCTGTAGGCGACGGAGGGATCCTGGGAAAGGAATCCCTGGCAGCCACCATCACGGTCATGCTTAAACCAGGGAAGGACCCATTACAATGCAGCAGTTACCGACCGATCTCATTGCTGAATGTCGATGCTAAGCTGTTCACGAAAGTCCTTGCAACTAGGCTTAAACATCTACTCCCCGATTTAATACACGCGGACCAGACAGGATTCATCCCGGGCCGGGAAGCTAGGGACAGCACTCTAAGGCTGTTCTCTATCCAACATCACGCAAGGAAAACAGGAACCCGGCTCCTTCTGCTATCAACAGATGCTGAAAAAGCATTCGACCGGGTCAATTGGACGTACATGCTGGAGACCCTGAAACGGCAGGGCTGCGGCCAGAGACTCCTCAAATGGATATCTGCTATATACAGTAGGCCACGTGCTTCGGTAAGGATTAACGGAGCCACAACCGAGGACTTCGCGATTAGCAACGGTACCCGACAGGGATGCCCACTCTCGCCTCTGCTGTTTGCAATGACCTTGGAGCCACTGCTACAGGCGATACGCCAAAACCCGGACATACAGGGTTATGATTGGCAGGGAGTCCATCATAAGGTTGCTGCATACGCAGACGATCTCCTTTTCTTCGTCCGCAACCCCAGGATCACCCTACCATGTCTCCTCTCCGAATTTGACAGATTCGGACAGATATCCGGTTTTAAGCTTAACATCTCGAAATGCGAGGTCCTGAATTTGACACTCCCGACGGATGAATTCCAATCCCTGGAACCAGAATTCGAGTTCTACTGGTGCCGTGACAAGATGAAATACCTGGGCATCTGGGCGACTGTGGACCCGGGAGATATTTACCAACACAACTTTACACCCTTACTGAAGAACATACTCGCAGACCTGTCCAGATGGTCCTACCCGCATATCACCTGGCACGGGCGAGTTGCGGTGATAAAAATGAATATTCTCCCGAGGATCCTGTATCTCATGCAGACTATACCTCTCGCACTCCCGTCGACCTTCTTCTCTACCGTGAAAACAGCAGTGATCAAATTTATCTGGCGGGGAGGACGATCTAGGATCCGACATGACATCATTTGCCGACCTAGACTCTACGGAGGGCTAGCGCTTCCAGATTTTAAGAAATATCATCAGGCAGCGGTCATGCAACGTATCTTGGACTGGCACTCCACGCAGACACCCAAACAATGGGTTGAACTTGACAGGGGCCTGGTCGGCCCGACGCTGGAGACAAGGATCTGGGGAGGCCCTGGGGGATCGTCGGCTCCCCTTGCCGAAGAAGGACTGATCCTACAGACCTTACAAGAGTGGAGGAAGCTGAGGACGCAGGACCACATATCCCCTGTACCCAGCCCGATGCTGCCGATTACTCATAACGCGGACGTAGGGGGAGGTCTCCCTCCCGAAGCGTTACCCATCCAAGGTAATGGTTCATACATACCCATACATATGGCCCTAGCAGGCGGGAATCTGCGGGACCTTTCCTCGATGTTGGGTGACAGACCTCGGACCCCCCTCCTCCAGTTTCGATATCTCCAACTGAAACATTTCTATAATTCACTACCACACAAGACTCAACTGCACAGGGACCTCACGTGGTTTGAGGATCTCTGCGACCGGGGTGCTACGCTTGAACACGCGCTTTCGGCACTATATCAACATCTACTAGTCGGAGGGACACCGGTAGCGGTGACGTTCAAACGGCAATGGGAAGGACAACTGGGGACAACACTCACGACACAGCAATGGGATGCTGCATTGCTCTG